CGTGATCGATGTCTTGCTTCGCTCGATGTCGGGCAGCGGCCAATTGATAGCCTTGTTCGCTCTGGCAGATCCTTCCAGCTCGTCGTAGAGCCTCTTGTTATGTGCCTCCTTTGCCTCTGCTACTGCATGCTTCGCTCTCGAGTTCAGTTCTCGATACTGATGGAGATGCTCGTTTGCGTGAAAGCGCTGCCAGGTTTTAAGGCTTCTTTCTTCTACTTGATTACTTGCTGGACTGACTCAGACTACCACCAAATCTGCTTGTCAATCGACAAACCGGTGTCCTAGCTGAGTGGTTCCCAGGATATCTTCGGCCCTCGATCGTATTTGCGGAATAATCCGATTCCACTGCTCTTCAATCATTTCTTTCTCATCAGTCGATAACTCTAGGACGTTCTCTGACTTGCTGGCGACGTTCATGAAGCTTCAACCAGTTGACCCTCTTTGTCCGTCTTCCTATCTCGCAGTCGCAAGTGGATGTTTAGTCGGAGACCCACGAGCAGTCAATGTTGTGGCGCAAATGCATGTGTCGCTGGAGTAGGAGACCTTCGTGTTCATCACCATTGGTAAGTGACGTCGGCGCAGCATCCAGTAGTCCATCTGAGCTCGCGTATATGATCAAATGCGACTCCCGCTTTTGAAAAATGTGTTCGCGAAAGCCAGGTCGTGTGCTTCGGCGGCTTCCGAGATGCGTTCTCCATCCTCATTCCTTTGACCATATCATTTCCGCCATAATACCGCTTGAACATCATGTGCATGGTTGAGCAAATTGAGATCGCCTCTTACGAAGACGTAGTCCGCGGCATCGAATGTTCTTAAAAGGATGTCGAAATCCCTCCAAAAAATGTCCTTCTCAGCTTTCGCGCATGCTGGCTGCAGGGCATAGCACGATACTAGTCGAAGTTTGACGTCATTTGTCTCAATCTTCAACGCCATCAGCTTATCTGAAATACGCGTTACTTCGGTCACTAGTTCGCGATATTTTGCGTTGACGGTAATCGCGACTCCATTCTGGCGGCTGCTATTCCCGGTGTAGTAAAGGCGATATCCATCGCCGATGTCCTTAGCCTGCCTTCCCCTCCATTTTGTTTCTTGTACGCATGCGATGTCGATGCGTCGCTCCCTCAGCCTACGCATAGCTTTAGACTGCGGCTCGATGGCGTTCATATGTTGATCGTCGCTAGTCGGCCTTCCTGGACTCGCTTCTTTGGCCTGCTTCGTCCGGGTAGCCCTAGCTCACTATTCCCTAGCAGGTAGCCTTAGCTCACTAGCGCCATACGGGCAATGACGCGAGTCGCCTTCGGGATACGCCTCAGCAGCTGACGAAAAATCTTGATAGTCCGATGCATGTGACACGACTGATTCGTACAG